AGAGCGGGAGCGCCTGGAAGCGGAGCAACCTTTCAAGGGGAGTAACAGGCAATTGGGTTAAATAGTGGGAAGAGGATTTCTCTCTTCAGCAGCACTTTTTGGCTTGCTTTCCAAAGCCCAGCACCTTGTGCGTCTCGTTTTCCTCTGCTGCTCGCTAGTAGCATGGGACAAAAGCTGCACGTGGGTCGGCCGGGACCGCAGGGCCCTGCGGGCAACCTGCACCCGCCGCCGCACGTGAGCCCATCTGCCACCTGCACTAGCCCGTCTGCCGCCTGCACTAGCCCATCTGCCACTGACTCGATGCATGCAAGCACGTGCAAGCGGGCCTGGGGCCACGTGCTACAAGTGTTGGCGTGTGGGCACACGGGCACCCGGCATTGCCCGGGCACCAGGGCTTGGTGGGCAAGGGTTAAACCTGGCTGGGCAACCTTAGCTGAGGTGCTGATCCACATCCTATGTGAGCGTGCAGCCTCGCTAATGAGCAGCGGCAATTAGCTCTGCCCCTTCGCTCCTCCTTGGCACGTGTCGTCCCAAACTTGTTCCTGTGTGCACCAGTGAGCTGCTTTTTGCCTTTTTCTGCCCCATTTTTTTTTATCAAGCGAACTCTGCAAGAGGGCAAAGACTTAATGCCAAGAAGTGAATAAGGAAATTGCTCTTTGGGGCCTGATTCTGCTCCTGCTTCGGCCACGTGCAGCCAGAAAGCTTTGCTGGAGTCGGTCGCAGGTTTAGGCATCCGGCCCTGCCCACTCTTCTCCATCCCTTTCTCTGCTTTGTGGCTGGGAAAAGCTTTCCTGGAGGAGGTGATTCCCCATGGAGGGGTAAAGAGGGTGGAAAACCCTCTGTGCCTGCCCAGTTGGCTGCTGTGCTTAGGAAATGTTTATGAAATAAGTATAGAAATGGATTAAATGGAGTTTAAAGTGGCAGTGCGCTAGAGATTTTCAGGGCTTGCTTATGTCTCAGTATCCTTCTTGTCCATCCAGTGAGATGGGCCTTTGCTGTCACCCATATCCCAGCTCCGTGGTGGTTTCGGCACCGTCTCAGGGACATCCATCACGTTGTTTTTCTGCCATCGGGGAGCCCGTCCCCTTCTCCCTCCTCGCCTGCCCGCGCTGGCCCTTCCCAGTGCTGTGGGAAAGGCTGCCACGACTTCCCGCTGGCTCCCGGCTTTGCGGCCTTCACCTCGGGTTTGGGAGCAGAGCAGGGAGCTGAGAGCAGATCTCGTGGGATGCGCGAAGCATCTCTAAATGGGACTACTGTCTTTTTTAATATTGGACCAAAAAGTCCAGTTTTCAATGCAGATACTCTATTCCTTTCCAAAAGAGAAAACTATTTTGACAAGGAGATCACTCATTTCGGGTGGCACTTTTCATTTCAGTCTTGAGCAATGTCTAAGTGGGCTTTCCCACATAAGAAACACAAGTATTTGTGCTTTAGTTTAATTTCTTGTGGGGAAAAAATGAGCATGTTGACCCGCTCCTCTCCATGCAGAAAGGTGTCACCAACAGCTAACTGCTTCAGCATGCTTGAAACCCGGCACTGAGGGAATAACTCATTACAAATCACATATTTGCTCAAATCCTGCTTCCTTCTCGTTTGCTTCAGTCCACGAACTCCCCAGGCTCATTCCTCATGCACAGTGAATTGTAGAGCAAAATTCTGCCTTCCCCCAGGATGGCTGAGACCCTAAGCCCAGAGGGCTGCAGTGATTTATTTTCCCCGTCTCCCAAGGCCTGGATTGGGCTGGCTCCAGTTGATCCCCGAGCAGGGAATGGCTGGAGGTTGGCTGCACCTGGAGCAGCTCGGATGCCCTCAAGCAAAACCAGCAAGAGGTTTCCTGAATTCTTTTTTTAGGGGGATGAATGCAGGTGTGTGGGGGGGTCCGCTCCTCGCGATGCTCTGGCCGGGATTTCTTTGCTTGCAGGGTCTCCTCGGGAAGGCACACGGCTGCGCTCTAACCTCACCTCTGTCCCTCTTCTCCACCAAGGCTATGGAAAATCCCGGAGCCTCAGCAGCATAGACGGCGTGGCCGGATCCACGGTGGCCTTGGCCCCCGTCGTGTCGCGCTACAGCTCGCCCTGCCCGCTGCAGCGGCCCTGCTCGCCCGTGCACCCTCTGAGCGCCGTGCGCTCCCCCGGCTCGCTCCCTGTCTCCATATCCCCGCTCCCTGTGCCCATATCCCCATGCCCCTTGGCCTCACCGGGAGAGGAGACCTGAGCTGGGCCGGCTCCGACCTCTGCCGCGCTCTCCCCATCCAGTTTGCCAGTGATGTCTCTTCGAACCATCTGTGTTTTCTCCTGTCCCAGCATCTGGGATGGTGCCTGGGAGTCATCTCCTCTCGGTGTTTTGCCCTCTTCCTTGAAACCTTCTTAATCTTCCCAAAAATGGGGCAATGGCAGGTGCCTCCCACTCTCCATGATGGGAATCCTCCTTCTCGGGGGCCCTTTGCACTTGGGCAAGGAAGGAAGCGTGAAGAAGGCTACATTGGCTGATGATGCAATACCTTGTCCAAAATGGTTCAGTTCACATCATTTTAGGCCTTTCTTTATTTTAACAGCCTCAAATTTCCAGGGGCGGCAGATGAATAAACCTCTCTTCCTCGTCCCGCAGCAGCTCCCCTCTATTTTGTGCTTCTTTGCCCTGAAGTTGTGCTGGCTCCATCCCTGTGTGCGTCTGCAGCTCTGCCAACCTTGGGGATGCCCCTGGGCTGGTCGAGGCTCTTTCAGCCTTGAAATGAGGTCCTGAGATGTCCATGGGGGTCGTATGGGGGCGGGCCTGGGTTGGGTGGGGGGAGCACCTGTGGAATGGAGCCCGGCTGGGATGAGGGATGTGATGGGAAAGCAGCGCTGGGGTCCGTGGAGTGGCTGTTATTAGATGTTGGAGAAAGGTGAGATCTTAAGATATCAAGATCTTAAGAGGTCTTGGACGTCCTCACTCTGAGCAAGACCAAAACCTTGGATTTTCACCCTGATTTCAGGCTTGTTTCTAGCTTGGGTGCCCCAGACCTGCCTCTTTAGAGGGGTCCGAGCCCCTGACTGCTGCAAAACAGGTTGGTTGGTGGCTGCTGCCCTGGTCCTGGTCCTGGTCTTGGAGTTTGTCCTTGCTCTGAGGCAATGGCCAGAGCCTGGGCCTCCAGCTGGAGGCCTGGAGCATCCCTAGTCCCCCTAAGTCCTAAAGAGATCAAGTTCTTAAAGGAAATCCCTTCCCAGGGCTGTGCTTTTCTCGCTCCTGTAGTGAAGTGCTTTAGTGCACTGTGTGCTTCTGCTCTCCTGGTGGGCTGTGAGTTGTGCTGGGAAGCACCAGGGTGCTTCTCTGCTCCAACCGTTGCATCCCACCAGGATCCTTGCTTTTCCTGTGGGGTTTGGGTATCTGAGGATCCTGGCTGGCTGCATCTTCCCATTCCTGGACTGGAAGCACCAGGCGGCGGCTGAGACTTCCTGACTCTGGGCGCTGCGGAAAGTCGCCCTGGATGATTTCCCTGGGATCTGAACTGTGACCTGTGGGTGTTTTTTGGAAATTTTGTGTGGGTTGTGGTAGTTTTGGTGGGGGGCTCATGCCCCTGCACAAGGCTCTCTGGGGGTCTCCTGCTCTGAGCTGCTGCAGCTCCCTGGATTACGTAGCCCTGTCTCTTATCTCCAGCAGTGGCCAAAATTGGATTCCTGGAGAAGAGGCTAAGAATAGAGCAGGCGGATTCGATGCTTCCCCCGAATCTTCTCCCAGCCCCTGATCTATGTTTAGGGAGCTGGAGAGGAGCTACTGTTCCAACGAAGGCACAAGGTACCAGTGAGGAAGGTGCGGTGATTTATTCTTGAAGAACCAAATAAATCAATAGCTGTGCAGCTGCCTCTGCCTGCGGCCTGAAATACCATGGGAAAAAATATATATTTGTATGTGTTTATACATATATACAAAACCTGCTCTGCAGTGATTGCCACTGCAGCCAGTTCGCTCCCGGCTTCCCAGTGGGCTAGGGATGCTCCGGTGTTGGGGAACAAGGGTCTCTGCTGAGTGCTGGACTTTCCATCACAGGGATTGGGATGTTTCCTCTCTCTGCAGGAGGCTGGAAAGCTGATAGGGACCAGGGAGCTCTAACAGCGTCACAGGGGCTTTTATCCATCCAGGCTGCCTTGATGCCGGCTGGATCCTTGTAGGGTCTCAGCCCCTGGAAAAGCAGCTGCACGGGGCAAGCAAGCGGGAGAGTGAGCTCGGTCCCGGGGGCAATTCCCGGAGCTGCAGCCGCTCCAGCACCGTGGGCCCCGGCTCAGGGTAGGAACTGGGATCCGTGCAGCCGCTCCGTCTCTCCGGAGCTGCCCGAAGGAGCCGAGCGAACAGCCCGGCCTGTGGAGCCGCCAGGCGGGAGGTGAAGATGTCAAGAGAGTAATTGCTCTACCCAGAAGCAGCCCCTTTCTGGCGCTGCCAGGAAAAATCCTCTGTGCTCATTTAATGACTAGAGAAAAAAAAAAGAAAAATAAATAAACCAAGCAGAAGCAAAAGGAGACAGAGCTGAGCTTAAAAACAGGTGCCCTGCGGCTTCATGGCAGCCTCTCCGGCACTGTTTTTAGGTGTTTTTCCCAGGTGAAATGTGGATCCCGGGGGAGCCGCCGGAGCGGAGCGGAGCGTGCGGCTCCTCCGCAGCGCGGGCCGCGCTCCAGCGTGCCGGTGCCGAGCCGGGGGAGTGTTTTGGCTTGCCGAGGTTTCGCAGTCGGCACCTCCGGAGCCGCTTGTCTTCCAACAAGAACCTTCGATGAGCAAAGGAGAAAACATAACTAGACAGAGCAGCCAAAACCCTGGCGTTACCGCGGGACACGGCGTGCGCAGGGCTGCTCGCACAAGTGCTGCCCAGGGGAAAGCGGGGCTGGACAAGCCCCATGCACTTGCAGGGGGGCATCTGTGTTTCAGGGCATTACTGCCTTGAGCTGCAGTTTTGCACCCAAAAAAAGGCCGAGGAAGGAGCGCGTGGAGCCGATCGGCCGAGCCGGAGCGATTGAAGTGCAGCTGCTGCTGTTATTTATTTTTAGCGGGGCTAATTTTGCCAGGGCTGTGAGCGGGTCCCGCGGGGCGCCGGGAGCTCAGAGCTGAGACACGTCCCTGCGATCGATCGAAGGCAGCTCGAGCCGCTGCTTTTGGGGCCCGAATCACCGTCTGGGGGCAAAGCCGGGGGCTGTGTGAAGCAACGTGGGGAGCATCTGTCCCCCCATCCCAGAAAACTGAGGACCCTTTGGTTTCCCCCCCTAAGTCTTGCACCTGGGGATGGGGAGCGTTGGCCCCGCGTCTTATCCAGGATCCAGGGCATCGCGGAGCGGCTCCCTCCTGGCGCCGGGAAAAGCGGGTCCTGGCAGAGCCAGGGAGGCGGCGCAGTGACTCACAGCTCCAATCAATGCTAATTAATTCAATGCTAACGAAGGAGGGGGAGTGCGCGAGTGCTGCGGGATATTAACGCACTGGCCTTGGCGTTGGGACGTGTGGCTGGGAAGCGCCAGGGGCCAAGCGACGTTTTGGGACGCGAAGCGGCACCGGACCCTCCGCTGCTCCGGGCCGGGGGCACTCGGGATGCTCGAGTGTGATGGTGGCCGCTTTCCCCATGGAAATCCCCTCCCAAGCCAGCTGCATCCTCCTTGCTCCATCCTCCTGCTCCTGTCTTGTCTTTTC